GCCAAACGGACTGCTGCTGCTGAGCTAATCGTCCACAAATGTAGAGCCAAAAAATTTTATACGTATCTCAAGGAGACCGAAACTCGTAGCAGAACTAATGAAAATGTATTAACCTTATCGTTTGACTGCAGAACCTCCAATTTTTTTTATTATAGCTAATAAATTAACAATCAGAATAAAACAATATATTATATAAGTTAATGTGATGAGTTTAGATCCTCTCCCTTGGTTCTGGCGTGATGTGGTGCCTCAACCAGGGTGCATCAACAATTGCTATTAAGATTTTTGGTTGGCATCTTTCCATAATAGCAATATTAGATTTACTACTACAGCCCCACAGCTCTATGCCATATGTCCATATTGGTTTGATAACTGTTTTATAAATTAGAATTTTATTATTTATTGACAGTTTGGAGTTTTTTCCAATTAACCAATTGATTTCTTTTTGTCTTAGTTGTATTTGTTTTCTGTTTTTGGTGACGTGCTCTTTCCAACACAGGGTTTGGTCCCGGTGTAGCCCTAGGTATTTGGTTGTTTTAGTCTTCCTCATTGTTGATATATATTGGTGGTGGTGTTTCTCGTCGTAAAGTGAAAGTTACGTGGGTTGACTTGTTTTCATTTATTTTTATTTTCCATTATTTTAGCGAGTTTTCAAGCTCATACAAATAGTCTTGGAGTTGTTGTGTAGCTATGTTAATGTGTTTGTGACTTGTAAGTGCTACTGTGTCATCTGCAAATGTGCCAATTGTTACGTTATTTGAAGTTGGTAGATCAGAAGTATATAATATATATAATAAAGGTCCCAGGACGCTGCCCTGTGGAATTCCCGCCTTAATGGGATGCATTTTAGATATTTCTCCATTTACTTTTGTTCTAAACTCTTGGTTTTCCAAGTATGATGTAAGTATTCGAAAGAATGGTGGTAATATTTGTTTAATTTTATAAACAAGTCCTTTATGCCAAACCTTATCAAAAGCTTGACGTACATCTAGTGATACCATTGGGCAATATTCCTTTTCTTCTAAAGCGGAATTGATTTTATGGGTTATTCGGTGGCATTGCTGGATAGTTAAACCTTTAAATTCACGTACAAGATCTGTTTTACCTCACACAATTGACTGTAATCGTATTTAATATTCACAATTTAAAACCGATGAATATTTTTTTACATGTATCACAAAGGCCAGGACAGTAAGAGTCCCAACGAGGCGTGTTCTTTATTGCTGCAATATATAAAAAAAGTATGTTACAGATAGTATTGAAGAACTGCTTTTATTTTGTGACAATTGTCCTGGGCAAAATAAAAACAATACTGTAATCAGATGAAACGAGATTTAAAAAAATTTAAGAGATTTATCCCATTAGAAAGCACTCGTTTTTGCCTTGCGATAGGGATTTTGGCACTGTCAATTGGTGGATCAACTTTTATAAAAAGAATGTCGTTTCTCTAAAGACAAGCAAAAAAAACATACCAAGAAATCAACAACAAAATTTTTTGGTTTCACAGTTTCGCCAGTGAACTCTGGATGATGATTCCTCTAACCCTGCTTATCTTAGTACTTCCCTCTATATTAACAGCCCTTTTAATGTTAACACTTTTCACCTTAAAATTCCCAATGCTGGCATCGTAAGATGGCCGACAAATAAGGCATATAAGAGCAAGATTCCGATTAAAGAAACCAAAATAGATCATATTAAACTGGTGTTAAAATATATTCCAGAAAACCACCAACAATCTTATAACGATATTGTTATATGGTCAACTACAAATCAACCGGAAATAAGTTACGCCCTTCTATTTTAATTGAGATTTGCTAAATAAACATTATGTAACAATAAAACACTGAAAACTTTGTTTTCAAACTTCCACAAAATTTATTTTAACTTTTATCACTACAGCTGTTTCGGCTGATTGCCTTTCTCAAGTGATCTATTTTTGGCTTGAGTTCACAATTTATAGTCTCTAATAAAATAGGTTTAGTAGGGGAGAACTGTTTGTCTCAAGTTGGTCATTCAGAATTATATCAGTTTTTTAATTTGTTGATTTCCATAGATTCTAATAAAGACAGCTTAAGGCCTTTATTTTGAATGTGAAGAATTTTAAATTTGTCATTAAAAGAATGATTATAATCTAGAAGGTGAAGTGCGTATGTCGAATCTGTTATTCTATTAGTGAAAGTCCTTTTTTGGTTTTGCTATTCGTTTATTAAAGTTTCTACCAGTTTGACCGATGTAAGTTTTTGGGCAGTCGCCACATTGAAGTTTGTACACACCACTATTTAAGTGTTTTTTATTTTGGCTCTTGTTATTTTTAATATATTTGCCTAGGTTGTTATTTGTTGGAAAAGCTGGTATTATTCCTTTCTTTTTTATGTGTTTGGCTATTTTTGTTGATATTTTGCCTGTATATGTAATCGAGCAGAAGGTACTGGGTTTTTTCTCTGGTGGTGGAAATACTAATTTCAGGGCTTTCTTGTATAGTTTTTGATTCAACATTTTATTAATTGTTTGTTCGTTGTATCCGTTGTTTACTGCTATTTGCTTAATTATATTTAATTCTCTCTCAAAGTTGTATTTTGACATCGAAAGTTCTGTTAATCTATGTAACATACTATGATAAGCTGCCAGTTTATGCTGTGTTGGATGGGATGATGAATTGTGTATATGTGTATAATTGTGGAAATCAACAAATTAAAAAAAATAGAGTTAAAATAAATTCTGTGGAAGCTTGAAAACAAAGTTTTCAGTGTTTGATTGTTACATAAAATGAATTTCCATCAAGTAACGGTCGAATCCATCAATTAAATAAACATTATTTCTTGAAAAAAAGTTTTATTTTCTGTTGTTGAAAGGGACCAAATGACATGTACAAAAATAACAATTATTTAAAAACAAAAACAAAAATGACCTTTTTTGACTATAATATAACTACTTATCAATATTTGATTAGGTTTACTCATAAACAAACAATCAAAAATAAGTTAGTCTACCTTAGAATAGTTTTTTGCGTTTTTCTGAAAACTTGTAAAATGCCGCTTGTCTCCTTTCAACAATAATCGATTCATTTATACTTATTTGGCATTGTTTTACCGAATATAAGCTTTGGACGACGTAATAGTATATTACTTTATGAGACGGAGAAGCATGACTTTTCTTGACGCGCCCGATATTACGCACCGAACGAAGTAAGGCGCGTAATAGTCAAGAAAAGTCACTTCTTTGCCGAATAAAGTATACTATTTTTTCTTCAAACGTAGCAATTTTCAACCATAAATAGTACAATTCATACGCTATTTTTACTCGAAATTAACTTTGACAACTATCAAAGTCGTCTTGATGTTAGAAATTAAAATAATTAAGTCGTCGGTGGGATTTGCGTATCCCTGGTTACAGTTGTTTGATAGTTGTTTGCAATTATTAAAGACAGCTTATTGTTGTTGTAACCGCATGCGCAAATTTGGTGCGAAAATGGAAAACCTAAACGAAATTGAGTCCGCGGCTAATGATGCAATAGCACGTTTGGGGCCCTCCTAGTCCTTAATAAAGTATCAGTTAGCGTACAAGCACTTCAAAGAGTGGTGCGATACAAGAGGAGTACGGCAAGTTACCGAAGACGTTTTACTGGCACATTTTAATATAATGAAAAATGAAAATAAATGGAAATCTTCTACAATGTGGTCACGATACTCTATGATAAAATCTGAGTTAGTTATTAGAAAAAATGTGGATATAAGCAAATTTTTAAAGTTACGCGCCTTTCTGAAAAAAAAACAAGCGAAGGATATACTGCAAAGAAGTCTAAAGTTTTCACTAAAGACGAGTTTGATAAATTTTTGTTTAAAGCGCCAGATAAGATTTATTTAGGATTAAAGGTAAAATATCATATTGTGCTGGATAAAAGCACATATTGGTATAAAAAAACCGAAATAGTAGATGATCTGGCTAAAAAAGCAACAACGAAAGAATCCACTCTGCAAACCTATCAACTTCTTATGGAAGATTTAATATCTGTAATTAGGTCTCTCAAACGGACAAAATGGCAGGGACACTACAGCAATTCAGACAAAGGCAAATTTTATAAAATAATCCAACCCACAATTTCCGTCAAGACATGGTTTAAACAAGTTTCCAACAGAGGCTTCCTCAAAACTATTTGTAGAATAAGAAGCAATCATTGTATGACTCCGGTCTACAAAACAAAAATGGGACTGGCAAATAATAATGAATGTATATGTGGAGAGCTAGCTGATCTAAAACATATGCTGTTAGAATGTCTTTTACATTTTATTGAAATATCAAATTTTTTTACCAAGCTAGTTCAAGTTAATGTTTAATTACCTTCTAATCTAATACATCTTTTAGAGTCAAAGAATCTAGATGTATATAAAATTTTATTCATATTAATATATATTAATATATTTAAGTCATATAAATTGCTTAAAATTAAAGCTCTGATAGAAAAAAAGATAAAAAAATAATAAAGAATAAAATAAAATGAAGAACAAAATAAAAAAAATAAATAAAATAAAAAAAAAGTTACTAAGAAGATCTAAACCTCCGAGGTGTCGAATCGGGTTTATGTCTTAGCGTAGTAATAAAAAAAAATAAATAAAAAAAAATTTAAAAAAAAAGTAAAAAAAGTAAAAAAAAAAATAAAAATAAAAAAAAAGATACAAAAAACAAAACAGCAAAAACAGAGTAAACTAATAAAAAAGTTTCTAACATTCCATGTCTTAACATGTCTTACAATACAATAGTTTTAAATGTAAATACTAACAAATACTTGTGTAAAGAGAGAACTGAAAACAAATTGACTGGCCAGTTGTTTGTCAAAACCAGTGCCAATAAAACAAACAGACACACACATAAATATGTCCTTAAGGTAAAATTATGAATACGCGAGTTTTCATGATTGTATTAGTGTCAAGAAAACCATAGAAAATTCTACAAATTTATACTTTCTAAAATTTATTCATTAATTATAAACAAAAGCTACTTACCACAGAAAGTACTTCTATATCAATTCTATTAAACTCGTCAAAACATGCCCAAGCTCCTGAACTTGCCAATCCTTTAAAAAATTTACCCATTGCCATGAAGTCCAGTTGATCAGAGCAGTTAAAGACTACACACTGTCTGGCAAATGCTTTCGCTAGATCTTTTGTTGTTTCCGTTTTACCTGTACCTACGAGTTTAATTTATAATATTTTAATATCTTTATTGGACGAAATGTGAAATGTAAATAATAATATAATAATAATTAAATGTAATTCTCGATATCAATAAAAAATGATTTCGATATCAATAAAGATGCAATTCAACGTTTTTTACATATTTATGTAATGTATATTACGTACATTAATGTGAGATTCAATTTTACAAATTTTACATTTTTTTTTAAATTTCTATCGTTATTGTTCTTACTATTTTGACCAGACTATGAATATTCACTTATGCATGTAACCAGCTCCTAAGGTTTTTAGATATAGTGTTGCTTGAATTAAAAATTATAATGAATAATTTTTGTCTTGTAAAAATAAAAAGTGTAAATAGAAAGTACTACTATTTCAATTTTAGAGTACAAGTCAGGTCTAGGTGTCTGAAGGGCTCATAAATGGGTCCTGCCCCGATCTACAAGTCAGGTTATAACTGAGGATTGTGATGCAAATGACATTGAAGCTGTGGCAGAAACTTTTTCTTTAGAAAATGATTCAGAACATTGACCTGCCGAAGAACAAACATCATCTAATGATGAAGTTGACAACCTGCTTGCACCAACAAAATGTAAGAATAAAAGCAACATTGTTTTAGATGGCATGGAAAATTTTCCTAAGGTAACTAATCGTCCATGAAAGCGACGTTGTGTAATCGATAAATGGGCACAAAATCTGCGTAAAGAGTAACGTGCCAGAAAGGAAGCTTATATTTCTTTAGGAAATAAAAGCATTCCTGAAGTAACAATGAAACCCACTAACTGTCAAAATCAGTGTTATAGTAAACTAACTGAATTTTTCCGAACGAAAGTTTTCCAAGGTTACTATGCACTGGAAGATTGTAATTGATTCAGAAAATTTGTACTGTAAAGTGATACTAGCAGGAAAGTTTTGGGTAAGTTCTGATTTTTTCATTCCATATGTGTTTTGGGGTGCTAAATCTGAATCTGAGGTGTGCGGACAAAATTTCGTGACGCAACATTTAAAAAACCAGAAGAAATCGTTTTTTTTTGCTTTTTTCCGGTTTTTTGCTTAAAATCGAAAACTGTTAACTTTTAGTAAATGGTCTGTTTACAGAAGTTTAAGTACTGGTATTGTCGCAGATGAGAGGATTACATGCCATTTGTCCAAGGAGGTGGGCATGAAAGGTATACAGCGCATTGTTGATTGTGATTTTCAAGCTGTAAAATTTAAAAGAAGCGAAAGACTGCTGCCTCTTGCGATCATGAACAGCTCCATTCAAATACAAGACAGGGCTGTAGTTATCAATTCCATCACACGTTTTTAACGAATGACCATCGCGAAACATTTAGATAAAGAGCTGCAAGAATTTTTACGTTACGAACTTAGCCCCTACTCTCTTGCTCTTTTTGATGAACATGGGATGAGGAAAGGAACAAAATCCAGTTTGTACAAGGCTTTTACACCTACTAAACAGACTGAGTTTAACGATACAAAATATGTCATCGACGGGGGTTTTTTGTTACACCGGGTAAAATGGCGCCAAGGTCAGACATATGCAGCAGTTATGTATCATATGTCAAATCAAACTACAAATCAAGTGCTATTGTCATTTTTATGGCTACCCTGACGAGAGTTGTGGTAGCACCAAGCGTTTAGAACGATTGAGAAGAGCACAAAGAAAACAATCTGCTGCAATATCATTAATAGAAATTATGGTGCCCACTGTGTCGCAGGATAATTTTCTTGCAAACCCAAAAAACAAGAGCCGGTTTATATCTATGTTAATTGAGAAACTTCATGATGCAAAAATTCATTCAAAGCAAGCTGTGGAAGATACTGATATCCTAATTATCTCAACAGTTTTTGAGATGGCCCCGTAAAATGAACATGTGACAGTGGTGGGAAAAGATATCGATCTACTGGTCATTTTGATTGGCGTTTGTAGCCCTGATATAAAAAATGTATTTTTTTAAGTCAGGAAAAGGAAAGGTTTCGCACAGCCTCTACAACCCTCATCTGGCTGCTGAGAAAATCCTATTTAATCATATTTTATTCCTGCATACGATGAGTGGTTGTGATACTACTTCTGCATTCTTTAATCAAGGCAAACTGAAATTTCTTAAAGTCCTGCAGAAGAACAAAGATTTGCAATCGGTAATTGAATCTTTCAAATACTCTAATTCAAGTCAAGATGAGATTGCCACAGCAGGAAACATGTTTCTCATGGCTTTATATGGAAAAAAAGAGACAAAACTAAACGATTTAAAATATAAACAATACGTATCTTCATCATTCAAAAATAAGACCAACATTTCCTCATTGCCCCCAACTGAAGCTGCTGCACGAGAACATTCACTGAGAGTTTACTATCAGGTGCAGCAGTGGTTATCCGGTCAAGCTATACCTAACGAGCAACAAAAAGACCCAAGTGAATGGGGATGGCAAAAAACTAGTAGTAGTCTTGTGCCAGTACCAACTACTTTGGACCCTGTACCAAACTCAATACTCCGGTACATTTCATGTAAATGTAAAAAAGGGCTGTCAACGCAATTGTGGATGTAGGAAGGCAGGACTCCATTGTTCCCCAATATGCGCATCATGCGAAGGACTGTGTAACAATGTTGAGCCCCCAGAAGACAGCTCTGACATAGACGTAGAAGAAACTGAAGAAAGAGGGAGAGGTATGTTGGATCTGACAATTTATTTTGTAGTCATTCATCTCTCCTTGATATATGATATGTGTCTCTCCTCTTTTCATTTTCCAGGCGAACAGCTCCCGACGCGGATGATGGAGCAATCAGACCTCTAAGCCAGGACCCGATGCCATCGAAGAACCTCACTACGAGGCGGAAGGTATGTTTAATCTCACAATCTATTTTGCAGTCTTCATCTCTTCTTGATAAATGACTTAACTTTAAACTTTTATTTTCCAGAACAAGCAGAACCAGGACTCATCGTTATCGAAGAACCTCAGCCAGGGCTTTCCAAAAGACAACGGCTCATATAAATTTTGCATATTATAATATTTAATCATAATAATATATGATCATAAGTAATGAGGTTTTAAGTTTTATTTTGTTACGAGTTCTACCTACCTACTGAATTTGCATAATTTTTCCCTTTTTTCTTTTTAATTATTTGTGTGGAAAACTAGGTGACATTTATCAAATGACAGCATCCATAAAAATTAAATTAATTTCTGTAAACAGACCATTTACCAAAAGTTGATAGTTTTCGAGTTTTAGGCAAAAAACGCGAAAAAAGAAGAAAAAAAACGGATTATTCTGTTTTTTTTTTAATGTTGAGTCACGAAATTTTGTCCGCAAACCCCAGATTCGGATTAAGCACTCCAAAAAACATATGGAATGAAAAAATCAGAACTACCCCAAAACTTTCCCAGCAAAAATACAATTTAACTGAACTAAATAGGCAACGAAATTTTATTCACAGTAACATGGATAAAAATCCTAAAAGATATAGGTACTAATACATCATTAAAATCCGAACGAAATATTTTAGTAACATTTTTTCTCACGAAGACTAATAAAATAATTAAAGTTTGTACTAAGGCGATGTTTATAAACACACTAGGAATTAAGAAAGGATTAGTTTGGGAAAAAAGGGAAAGGGAAAAACTGATTCGACAGTTTTGGAAAATGTTAAGTCACATTTTAATAGCTTTCCTACTGTGCCTTTCTATTATTGTAGATCATCTATTGAATGGCGTTACCTTGATTCGTCCTTAAATATCACTCTGATGTATAAAATTTATTGTGAGTTGTGTGGTTCAAGAGCTGAACAGAAAGTTAGTTAGTTAGAAATCGTTGCTCAAAGTAGATTATCAAGCTCATCTCTTGCTTAAGGATCAAATCAGAACCGGAAAACTCGCTGTCGGTAAGGAAGAAGATTAGATCATTTGAAATGAGACTTAAGGATCCCAAGGAAGTTGTAAAATAGCCAGTGCAATTTATATTTATTTTAATCACTACCAGACAACAATCTATGTCACCTTTTTTAGAGACAGATGTTTAGGTCCAAACTTGAATCAGTCTACTGCAACAATGTTAATGAAGACAGTAAATGATTTAAATAAACGAAAATTCATTAACATAAGTTCTTGGTTTCTATTCACAGTTAGATGAAATGTGATTCTATTCGCTCTGCAATTAACATAGAATTAAAATGTGTAGGAAAAGCCTTAGGCCTGAAGATTGTTAGCAAATTGCTCGGAGAGTAAGAAGAAAGGTAGACAAACGTTATCTTGTTAATGATTTAGATTAATCGGGCATAAAATATTTTTTATAAAATTTGTAAACGATAATATAACTTTTCTGAAAAAGGATGAAAATGGATATGCCGTGCTTTAGCAAACGATGTGCTAGCTAAAATTTAGGAAAACACAGCTATAAGGTTAAAATAATCATTTTTGATGAAGGTTTTAGGCATTTAAATTTAAACCAAACGGACCCGCTCTTCAATTCAATCGCCTTTACAACCTTAATACCAACACCATTTTCTAATATCAGTACAAAAATATAAAGATCTGATGTTCTTATTTTCTATGAAACCACCTGCTTTGGGAGATTCCTGCAGGCTATTTTACACCAGTCTGTCATACGAGAATAAAGAAGATTTAAATGAAATAGATGATTGTCAAGACTATGAAGGTGATTCTTTAAGAAGGTATCTATTTGTGCCCCTATAGAAATTACAAATTGTTTTATATCAATGTTATTCTTCATAAAATAGTTTTTTGTAAGAAATTTATTTTTTTAAATGTTAGTAGGTGCTTTTTTTATTTTTTATGTATAACTTTATATAATTTTAACATAACGAATAAAAAAATAACTGTAGAAAATTCCGGCGTTTGGGGTGGAATTATTTGTGATTCCACGTGCTTTTAATCTGCTACGAACTTATACCGCCGGTATTCTCTGAGGGTTTTTGAGTGGACTGTATTATTTTGAGTGTCCATTGTACGTAAAGGATACAAGTAACTTGTAACTAACATTTATTTCTCTACGTATTATACTTAACACAATATGTCACAATATACGTGGTTGCACAAAGTTGTTATGTTTCACAATCGCGAAGACAACTTTTCTTATTGCTAAACACTTGATGAGATAGACACATGCTTTGAGAATTGCAACTAACAAAATCACAAATTTGAATATGCATCATGCTTCTTCCGCAGGGGTTGCTAACATAGAGACGGGCTTTGTATCTTTCGACCATCGGTCGCCGATATCGGGTACTAGGTAATTGTTCACATGGACCGAATACCGTGAGAGATTATTGGTAAGGTATTGGAATGAATAGGGCGTCTTGGCCTACGGGGTGGAGTAAAGTTAATAAACAAGGGAAAATATACTATTTTAAAAACTACAGGGTTGTAAACAAAATCACTTTACAACCAATAACTTCTACTTCTATTTTATGATGATATAAGAACAGCTATAGAAACAAAAAAAGCAAATTTCGAAATACTATTAGGAGATTTTAATGCTAAATTGGACAAAAAAGAGGAAGATTATGAACATTTAATTGGTAACTATGGCTACGGGAAAAGAAACGATAGAGGAGAAATGCTTCTCAATTTCATGAATGAACATAACATGTACTCAATGAACTCCTTTTTCAATAAAAAACCAAGCAGAAAATGGACATGGATGAGTCCCGATAAAAAGACAAAGAATGACATAGATTATATCTTAACGAAGAATAAAAACCTAGTAGAAGACGTATCAGAATTAAATCAGTTTGACCTAGGAAGCGATCATAGACTAATAAGAACAAAACTAATAATTAACAAAAAACTAGAAAGAAAAAGAATACATGAAAAAAGATACAAATGGACATCTGAAGAAATCAAAAATACTGAATTTAATAAAAAGATAGTGCATGCATTAAATCAAGTTAGCATGCAGCAGATAAACTCCAATGATATTGATGATTTGAATAACCTTATTACCGAAACAGTGAATAATAGCCTTCTGCAACTGAAAAAACCAAAAACAACATACAATGAATTAGACAAAGAAATATTACAACAAATAGAAAGAAGGAAGATCTTAAATAAATCTAACAAAAGGGGAACCGACGAATATAGAGAACTTAATAGGCAGATTAGAAAAGGAATCAGACAACAAAAAAGAAAAGAAAACGAAAAAATTAATAACAACAACTATTGAAAAAAAATAAGAGTATGAAATGCCTCAGACCGACACTAGGACGACGTCAGATGATATCATTAATAGGAAAAGACGAAAATGAAATCACAAGTAGAGAAAACATACTGACACGAATAGAAGAATTTTACACAGAACTTTACAGATCACATCAACAAGATGATGAGATGAGACCAGCACGGAAATTAATAAAAAATGTTGGATCAGAAATAATGCCAAAAGTAACAATTTCGCAGGGGTACAGCATTGGAAAACATGAAGAGAAATAAAGCTGCAGGAGAAGATAGTATTACCACAGATATGATATTAGAAGGAGATAAGGAACTAATTGCAATTGTAACTAGGCTTGTGGATAGTTGTTTACATCAGGGCAAAGTCCCTAAGAGCTGGAACAACTCTAAAGTAATCTTATTACACAAGAAAGGTGATAGTCGAAAATTGGAAAACTACAGACCCATCAGCCTACTGTCACACCTGTTTAAAATACTCACCAAAGTCATAACTACTCGACTAACAAGGAAATTACACGAATACCAACCATATGAACAGGCAGGTTTTAGAAAAGGCTATTCAACTTCCGATCACCTGTTAACCACAAAAATATTAATAGAAAAATGTAACGAATACAAGTTTCCAGTTCTCCTAGCATTTGTAGACTACGAAAAAGCTTTCGATACCATAGAACACACGGCCGTAATAAACGCAATGCAAAATTGTAGAATAGACACCAGATATATTAACTTAATAAAAGAAACTATGAACCAAGCTAGAGCTACATACTACCTAAATGAAAATGAACACACGAACCCTGTACCATTAAACAGGGGAGTCAAACAGGGAGATACTTTATCACCCAAACTGTTTACCTTAGTTTTGGAGGACGTTTTTAAAAACCTAAATTGGAAATATAAGGGAATAAACATCAATGGCCGCTACCTCAGTAATCTACGATTTGCAGATGACATAATCCTGATAGTTACTGACCTACAAGAAATGCAAACCATGCTTGTAGAACTACATACCGAATCTTCTAAAATAAGACTGAAAATGAATTTAAACAAAACAAAAGTCATGCACTCCGAAGACACCGTGACAATAATAAAGGATAAAGTTATAGAAAAAGTTGAAAAATATATATACTTGGGACAAAAAATAATTCTAAATAGGGAAATTCAGACTGAAGAAATAAAAAGAAGAAGAAAGTTAGCTTGGGCAGCATTCGGTAAACTGAACTATATACTCAGAAATCAACAAATTCAATTACATCTTAGATCTAAAGTTTTTGATGTATGCATTATTTCGATATTAACTTATGCGGCACAAACATGGACAATCACAAAAAAGAATATGAATATACTTAAAGTCACTCAACATGCGATGGAAAGAGCAATGCTAGGTATATCACTTAAGAACAAGAAAACAAACACATGGATAAGACAGAAAACCAAAGTCACCGATGTGGTGCAAAAATCATTAATGTTGAAATGGGAATACGCTGGACATGTAGCTAGGAGCGATCTAAACAAATGGCACAAATCAATTTTAACCTGTAGACCATACCAACACAAAAGACCCAGAGGCAGACCTCCTATGAGATGGACAGATGATCTGAAAAGGACTGCCGGGAAAAATTGGCTACAACTAGCGTTCAATACAAAACAATGGAAAGAAAGACCTAAAGAGGCTTATGTTCAGATGTGGACGTGAATGGCTAGACGAAGACGAAGAAGAAGAAGAACTTCTACTAGTTCTAATGTTACTTTTTTAACAATAACAAGGCCAACACAAAAAATGTATAGTACAATAAGTACATAACTGGGATTTTGGTAAAAAGCATACATACGCAGCAACTAGATAACTGAGATTTTTCCAACTGTTTCCCTGATATTAATAATTGGAAAATATATCCATTATTAAACCTTATAAATAGTGAGTAAAAAAGGTAAGATTGTTAAAACCGGAATAAAGCTTTTAATATTATATCAATTTTAGGCTAGAGAAGAATTCAAACTTTGCAAAAATCTTTAAAAGCGTGTTTCTCAGAAATGTTATATTTGAGTTACCTAGTTGTAGTATTGAGGTGACGATATTAATACTCTAATTAAACTCTTTTCATTCAAAGAACTACGGGTAATTCTTAGAGAGAGTTAGAGTACAAGATACCATTGTAGGATCACTACGTTCATAACGTAGTTCATCAAATTCAAATTTTTAAATACATTTATAATTAGGAAATTTGTCTCCGCTGTTCCAGTTTTTGTTTTAAATCGGTTTCACTATTTCCTACTAAGCATACATTGAGCACCACGGAATATTACCCTGTAGTTTCGCTGTTATTTGATCCATAATTAATTATAATAAATAAGGACTAAGCACTGAGCCTTGGTGCAATCCTACTTTCACATAAAATTTATCAGTCTCTTCCACACCTATCCTAACACCAGTTGTTACTTCCTCATAAATGTCTCTCACAATCAGTACATATTCACCGATGACTCATTTCTTATTAAGTGCCCACCACAGAATCTTCCGAGGAATTCTATCATATGCTTTCTCATGATCAATGAATACCAAATTAGCGCTTGTTTCCTTATTTCTGTATTTTTTATCAACTGCCTTATATTGAAAATTATGTCTGTCGTTAATCTACCTTCCATAAAGCCAAATTGATTATCGGATATTTCGGTTTCTTCACGTATTGGTCCATTAATTTCAAAAATGTTTCTATAATAATATAGCTAAATAGAGAAAGATCTATAAAGAATTTATATAATCTGTAGTAATTTACTTTTGTTATTTATATTTTGTTGCCTCGCTTATAACCTTGTTGAAGACTTTATTTCGAATAAAAAAAATTATTCCTTATCCAAAAGCTTCGAAGTAGTATAAATATTTAACAAAGACATAAATTTTGATGCTACCTACCTGCTGGTCCTGCTGGGGCACCACCAAATTTAAGATGGAGAGCTCCAGTTAGGGTAAGATAACATCGATCAGTCAATGGAGTGATCACCAAACGACCACTGTTCCCTAAATACTCGTAACCGTATGGAAATTCAGCATTTACAGCTCTTACTCTCATTTGCTCTTCAATCCAGTAATATCTGCAATAATAATGATTAAAAAAATTTAAATCGTAAAGATTTCTAAATTAGCTGGAATTAAAAATATCTACAGTTCAGTCGATGGTTCTTTACCCGCCCGAGATAAATCGAAAATGTCCTGCACGCAACTCTCTCTCTCTTCAATCCTGACCCCCAGGGGGAGTGTAGTGGTCGACGTGATGTCGTGTATTGTCCGTCTCCAGAGATCTCTGTCTCTGGTCATTTCTTTTAATTCATGCATAGGTCTTTGGCATATTCCTATAATTTGATCTATCCATCTTGTTGGCGATCTTCCTCGTGATCTTCGGCCTTCTACCTTTCCTTGTATTATGAATCTTTCCATGTTTTCTGTGTTTGCTCTCATAACATGCCCAAAATATTTTAATTGTTGAAGATGGACTTTACTAGAGAGTCGTTAACTAACTTTTAGCTCTCTTAAAATTGAATTATTTGTTCTACGGTCGGTCCAAGGAATTCGTAACATTTGTCCCCAATAGAACATTTCAGTGGCGTCTATCTTTCTTCTCTCCGATTGTCTCAGAGTCCAAGATTCACATCCGTAGGTCAGTATTGGGAATATTAAGCAGTTGATCAACCTCATCTTTATCGCTCTTGAAATTTGACAGTCCTTCCATATTTTGGTCTCATTTTTACTGTGGCAACTTTTGCTAGATCACATCTACGTTTAATCTCTTCTTGTAATGACCCTGTGTTTGTGATTAATGATCCCAGATATAAGTATGAGCTCACAACCTCGAACCGGTCAATTGTGGTTATGTGTGGATGATTGTTGTGTAGTCTATCCACTATCATGATCTTTGTCTTTGATATGTTTATTGCAGACCAAATATTTGACTTTCGTTTTCGATCAGTCGTATAAGTTCTATCAGCTCTGCTTGACTATTTGCAAGAAGGGCTGTGTCATCTGCGAAACGTAGGTTGTTTAGTTTTTGACCATTTATTGAGATGCCCTTTTCCCATCCTTCAAGTGCTCTTCGCATAATATACTCCCCATATATGTTGAATAATTGTGGAGCTAGTATACATCCTTGTCTGACACCCCGTTCTGGATGAAATTCGTTCGAAAGTGTGTCAAGTACGCAACAGTTAGTGACAAAAAGTAGCTACTGAACCGATCACGGATTATTTTAAAAAATTTGAGGTTATTAAATAACTAGAATGTAAAATGTTAGTTTTGCTTTAAAATTTTGGTGCAGATTTACAGCTACATTTAAAGTAGCTTAACACTTTCATCAGCAGAGAAATCAGCACCGTTACTCCCTGCTACAGTCTATATTGCAAGGTAAAGTCAAAGGTAAGCGAGGACCCGGTAGAAGGAGAATATCATGGTTGCGGAATTTAAGAACATGGTTTAAGAAAACCTCAACGGAGCTGTTTCGAGCCGCAGCGAGCAAGGTTATGATTGCCAATATGATTTCCAACATCCGAAACGGATAGGAACTAGAAGAAGAAGAACACTTTCATTGCCGATCACGTCCCTAGGCGCGATTGACAACCACGTACCACATGCCGATCACGCCACTAGGCGTGATCAGCAGCACTATCTTTTAAGTAAATTATTTCAGCCGGCTTCGCAGTTTAACTGTTGATATTGTGTCGGCACGTACTTAAGACTTTGTTTTTGCCTATAATTTTGTTGGTTCCGCGATATTTTTGCTACATTGCTGTACCGTGTGACGTGAATATGGATGACTGTGTTGCTGGTCCGTCTAAGCCTAAAAGGGGGAAATTGTCAAGAAAGCCTCTGACCGAAACAGAATTACTTACTTACTTAGAAAACGAGTGTTCTTCTGATGATTATATAGATGATTCCGATAATAGTAGAATTTTCTAATGCTAGCTTAATTTGTTTTTAAATTAAATTAAAATTCAAAATCAATAGTAAATGCAATAGAACAGAAATACCTCAATATCATGAACCCACAGCCTCCTAAATTATACTTTTTCATTAAACTACACAAACCGGATCACCCAATAAGATCTGCAGTTTCTTTTTATACAGCTCCGTCATATAAGCTTTCAAAAAAACTGTTTTTAAAACATTATTTAGAACACACTAAATTTTCACCTAAATTTACCATAAAAAATACAATAGAACTAGTTAATAAAATACAACATATTCAAATACCTAACAACTCCAGATTAATTTTATTTGACGTAAAAAACTTTTTCCTATTATCCCTCCTACAGAAACTTTTATTCTGGTAAAAAACCTTTTAGACCAAAATAGTACAAATCCAATAATTACATCTGAAATTTTACATCTTAAAGTTTGTATAAACCAGGACTACTTTGAATTTAATAATCAAATATATACAAATAACAGTGCAGGACTTATAACGGGCTATCCTCTAAGCCCATTGCTATCAAATATTTTTATGGATCATCTAGAGACAAAGATTTCAAAACATCCCGTATTTAAACAGTTTTTATATTGGTGGAGATACGTAGACGACGTACTGGTATGTTTCACAGGAACTAACAGGTAACTAGATCAATTTTTATCGTATATTAATTCACTCCATAGTCATATTGAATTTACAATAGAAACAGAACAAAATCAACCCATATTTTTTTTAGATTTAAAAATTATCAGACTTAAAAACAAACAGGACTTCTCCATATTTCAAAAAACCTACCCATACTGTCACGACTATACAGAATTAAATATCATCAAGCAAATAGCAGAAAACAACGGAAACAACGAACAAACAATTAGTAAAATGTTAAATCAAAAACTACACAAGAAAGCCCTGAAATTAGTATTTCCACCACCGCAGAAAAAAACCCAGTACCTAATGCTCGACTACATATACAGGCAAAATATCAACAAAAATAGCTCAAAAAAAGAAAGGAATATCATCAGCTTTCCGAACAAATAACAACCTAGGCAAATATCAGAAACAACAAGAGCCAAAGTAAAAATCACTTACACAGTGGTGTGTACAAACTTAAATGTGGAGACTTCCCAAAAACTGACATCGGTCAAACTTGTAGAAACTTTAATAAACGAATAGCAGAACATAAAAGGGCTTTTAATAATAGAAAAACAGATTCTACATACGCACTTCACCTTCTAGATCACAATCATTCTTTTAATGACGAATCTAAAATTCTTCACATTCCAAATAAAGACCTTAAGCTATCCTTGTTAGAATCTATGGAAATCAACAAATTAAAAAACACAGATATAATTCTGAATGACCAACTTGAGACAAACTGTTCTCCCCTCCTCAACCTATTTTATTAGAGACTATAAAGTGTAAACGCATGCCAAAAATAGATCACTTGAGAAAGGCAATCAGCTGAAACAGCTGTAGTGATAAGTTAAAATAAATTTTGTGGAAGTTTGAAAACAAAGTTTTCAGTGTTTTATTGTTACATAAAACGAATTTCCATCAAGTTACGGTCGAATCCATCAATTATTTAAAAGTACGTTTATTGACGTTTCAATTTCCATTTTGGAAATTGTTCTTAAAATACAAACATTAGTAAATTAAACAAGATTTATTAATTTACTAATTTGTTTAATGATGCCTTTATTTTTTAGAAAAATGTGATTCTATTATCCCAATATTGCCATTTGCAATGTCAATAAAAAAGGATTTTTGCTTTAGTTTTTTAAAATTAAAATATATTATTAAAGAAAATACATTTCTTTGTTACTACTTAAATTTGTTTTCATTTCGTCGGTGACCTGGCAATATCTCTTATGTGACTTCAGCTAAACTTTTCAGGAGAGACGAAAAACTTTATAATTATAAAATTTTAACATATTTCAATTGTTTGTTTGTGTTTTACGATCTATGTGAAAGCAACATTTGTACTTCTTATAAAAAAAGTTAATATTTGGTTGAATTTAGTTTTGTTAAGCTAGATAGGAGGTATTGCTTTAAGTAATGTTACTCATAGGAGATACTGATTTTTATTTAATGTGAACTTAGGAGTTGTTGTTTATTAAAATTACGCATAAATTTAACTTTAAAATTAAACATTAATTAAAATAAACAGATTTATTCATGGTAATGTCAAAACACTTATTATTATAAAACACAATATTAAAACTTCAAAAAACAACGAACAAAAATTTTTCCATAAGTAGGTACACGTGTCTAAATAAATACAAAAATAAAAACAAAATAAAAAGATCTATCCGTGTAAAAGGCCATCATAAAATAAATGCAAATCTTTTGGCAGGGTCGATTTTATATCTTGTAAATGTAACCATTTCTCTATTTTTATTTTATTGGGAGATAGAAATAAAGGTGGATAGTCCAGAATTGTTGGCATAGTCCTTGGTCTGATAGGGACTTGTATGTATTCTCCTTTATGTTCAGTTTTTATTTCTATGGTCCCAACTGGATCGAATTTGGTACATTTTATATCAGTACTGATTGGGATTCTGGTCGGATCCTGGTCGGATTGAGGAATATCGCATGTGGTTGGAGGATAAATAGTCTTTAAAAAACGTATGGTCTAATATTTTGACTCTATATGGCTTAGTTCCCTTTCTTGCTTAAGCTGTAATAAAAACATAGTCACTGGGTAAATGGATTTCCTTATTTTAAAGACTCCTTTTTATCATACTATGTACTGAGTCACATTTCATTTGAGAGATTTCCCGGTTCAAGATATTTTTGAAACACTAACACATTATGTTTGATAGGAAAGTTTAGTAAAACGTTGGCCAGGATATTATTACGATTTTGATAACCGCATCCATCAGAATAAATAACTACTGAGGTTTTTGAATCAATAACACAGTTCTCGTCTAAATAATGTATGATACAGGAAACAAATGTGGATGCTTTGAGCTGGTTATTTTCGTTTTCTGAAAACCAATAGCACATAACATCGCGAGATTTTAGGTTGTCAATTGTAAAGTTATAGTAGGACAATTTGGTTTTAAAGTACATTTTGTTCGCTGGTACATATGGGCACAATTTTAGGTAGGTCCATTGTTAGTGCTATTATTTCAT